ATGTGGTTCATTGTGATGTTGTGGTGATTCAGTTAGTTGCAGCTATTGGCATAGAGCTTACATAAGAATGTCCACTTTCAAACCTCCTTTGTTTTCACTTTGAATTACTTAACGTGGTAGAGTGAAAAGCTTGAAAACATGACTCAAAAAGCACTTGGAAGCCTAAAAAAAGGAAATGTAGATGGATATAACCAAGATCTGCTATCTAAAAGACTCCAGATTATAAAATGATCTCATGAATTTGAGTAACTCAATGATTTGTGAGCATTCAGGGTTTACAGACTGAACATGCTGATGTAGAGGAATGTGACTTCTTCATTAGATGTGTACTTTGTCTTGCTAAAATAATTTCAGAATGTTAATACTTTTGTTAGCAATAGCTTCTACGCATTTGCATGTAGAAAGTGCTAAAGTATTTTGTTTAAATACAGTACTCTATGCTATGGCAAAAGAAAGTTAAAGTAATTGTGCTCGCTGGTGGTAGGCAAGTTTTAAATAATTCCTCTGAAAAGTTGCGAGCTGCTGTGGAATTAAATGCTAAAAAGCTGTTAAAATTATGGACAGTTAAAAGCTGCAGGAAGTATTTCTTATGCTTGAAAGTGGGTGTTTTGAGAGTGACAGTAAATGTATTCCATTTCTGAGCAGCCTAATTTATGAAAGCTCTGCCTCCCGTTTGTACAAGATTACTAACAGGACAAATTACTAAGTGACCAGCCAATGCAGCTGTTGGTGAAAGCCTAGAGAGTATAGGCCTGATTAGTTAAACAAGCTGGATCGCTGCCATTTCAAAGGATTCAAAATGAAAAACAAAAACATTTTGAAAATAAATTACATGCTTTAAAAGAATGCAGGAAAAGAGATTTAAATGGAAGTAAAAGATTAATAATGCTTTAAAGAAGCAATGGACTGCATGGTAGAAATAATACGATAATTTGATAGGTGATGATAATATGATAGAGAATTATGCTAATCCATTTTAGGAAAAACAAAGGCAGATTTACAAGCAGTGAGAAATATCTCTTGGCTCACTATGAACCTGTTCCTACACTTTGTAAGTGAAGGATGTTTCTGACTTATTTTGAATATTGTACATGTCAGTTTATCTTTCTCTGCCATAGCTCCGTTTGAGTATGCAGTTTTGAAGCTCCACATCATGTTTCCACTGTAGTGCATGCAAGTGTCTGCTACTTGCTTAACTGTTTAGAGCTGTAGGTATTATGGAGGATATATGGAAGTGTGAGGAACTTACATGTTTTTAAGTAAACCTGTAAACAGTTTTATTTAATGTTTATAAAATTTTCCAACCAGAATAATTTCTTTACCAATAGAAAGGGAATGCATATTCAGTGTTCGTCTGATCTTCTTTCAAACATAAATATTGTTTGAGCATTTAGAATCACAGATACGTTGGCTGGAAGGGACTTCTGAGGGTCATCTAGTCAAAGCTCCCGCTTGGAGCAGGACAGTTGCTAGCACTGGACTAAGCCAGTCCCAGGTGTAGACCTTTGTACTTCTTTTGTACAGTTCATGAGGTTTCTGTTTTCCAGTCCTGCAGTTTCTCAGTGCCCCTTTGAAGTGAAGCTCTACCATTTGGCATGTCAACCATCCCTCTAATTCAGTATCATCCACAAGTTTGCTGATGGTACATTCTGTCTCATCATCCAAGTTACTGATAAATTTATTGAACTATATCAGCCCCAATATCAACCCCAGGATACTCTTACTGTTACTAGCCAGCAAGTGAAGCAACTTGAAGCCGTCAAGCCTTCAAGTCTCTCTGCCCACCCAGCCAGTTTTCAACCACTCCAACAGTCCATCTGGCCTCAGCTTCCTCATGTGTATGCTGTAAGAGATGGATGGTGTCAAAAGCCACAGGAAAGTTGGGGTGTATTGTATCCACTGCTGTCCCTTTAGCTGCGTGACCAGACATTTTGTCACAGCAGGTGTTCAAATTTGTCAAGCATAATTTGCCCTTGGTAAATGTGTGTTGAATCTCCCTGATTACTTTCTTAGCTTTCACACAGGTAAGGGGACAAGCTCAGCTTTTTTCTAGAGGGTGAGGTGGTGCTGACTGGACATAGGCAGTGCTTCTTGCCTCTCTTAAAAATGATCACGCATTAGTCTTTTTCCAGTCAATTGGAGACTTTCTCTGATAACTGTTTTTCATAGGTGATAGACAGTTGCCTCACAAGCATGTCAGCTGTGTCTCTTAGCAACCTTGAGTGTAACCCATCTGGCTCTGTGCGTTTGAATACATCCAGCTTCTCCAAGCAGTTGCTGGCCCCACTCCTACTTATCCCTCTCCTTCCCGAACACTACTGGTACAAGCAGAGGTCTGGGTGCAGGCTTTGCCTGTGAAGACAGAGGCAAGAAAAGTGTTGAGTACTTCAGCCTTTTCCATATCACCTGTGACAAGGTTGTCTTCCCCTTCAGTTGGTGGATGCACATTTTCACTTAACTTTTCTTTATGATACTTTCATACTTTTAAAATTCCTTCTTGTTACCCTGTATGTCTATTGCTAGTTTTAGCTCCAGCTGAGCTTTGGCCTTTCTGATTTAATGGAAATAAAGGATGAAAACAAGCCATGTCAAACAGCGAGTATTTTATTTAACAAATATTTATATGGATTTTTTAGGAGCTGGTGATTCTGAAGACGGCCCAGTCATCATGGCTCATGCTAGTATTTATGTGGGTTTTACTGTTCCTCAATTACTGAGAGGTGCTAGCAGAATTTTTCCCACTCACTCTGCGTTGGTGGTGTTGAGGCACTCTGCTTTTTGTTACTGCACAGTGAACAGGTAGGTTATCTATAGAAATACTGCTTTTTTTTTTTAAAGAGAGTGTCATGATAACACTGTCAAAATGAGGCTGACAAATAATTATAGACCTACAAATACCTATTTAACTCCCAATTGTATATGTATATTTAATTCTTATTTAGATTTATGTCACTTGGAATGTAGACTGGATTACACTGGCAAATTCATATGTTAATAGAAATTCATATCAGTAAGAGACAGTAGCACAGTTTTCAAAATGGCAATTCTCTTTGTTTGCTTTTTCTTGCAGCACAATAAAATCAAAGAGGAAAATGGATCATTTAGAGAGGACGGCAAATAATTTTCGCCAGGAGGTTAGTGTTCTGTTCTTTAGGATGTAATTTTTTTTGGTGTGAAGAAACTGGATAATTGTATTTGATTCTTAGGCTTCATCTTCTCTTCTACTGGAGTCTGTTTTACTTGTTTTTCTCCTTATTCTTCATATTTGATATTTTTGTAGGTATATTTTGTGGTCATGGGTGAAATGTAATGAGTTATAAAAATTGTTGGTGACACGTGATGCTGTCTACTTTATGTTGCACAAGAAATTTAGTAGAATTCTGGTAAAGTATGGATTATGATAAGTAATGAAAGCATACCGATACCCATCATCTCTACACAGGCTTCTCAGATTTTTATGGGTTTCTGCAATTCTAATTCAAATTTGAGATTAAAAAATGTGTAAAATGTCCTTTTATAACATAGGAGGTAAGATAAAAAGTGTGGAAATTTTGAGGGGAGAGATGATAGAGAGTTGTAAAAAGGATCTTTGTTTGTGTCTATTTTAATTCACAAGTACAAGGAAGGTAGAGCATGGTTCTCCATCAAAATCCAGAAATGCTTGTTCTGGATGTCAGTTTTGTGCAGTGAGCATTCTTTTTCATAATGTTCAGAGGTGAACATACTCTCGTACTTCATGTAGGTATTTGCTTTCTGTAATTAGCTAAAGTAGATGTTTTAAAATTTTAAATACTGGGAGAATATGACTTCAATTCTCAAAAACATTTCACTAGTGAAATAATGCTGCATTTTTCTTAGACTTCTCAGGAGAAGTATGGCACTTCTTTGACTGAAAAATCCCATCTTTAATTCCCAGGAGTTGGGAAACGGTGCCCAAGTTTTCTCCATCGTTTAGTTAGCTTCTCTCAGTCTTGAGTAGCCATTCACGACAGGCCAGTCCTGCATGTGTCACACAGCAGGACAAAACTGTATGTTCTCAAACACACTACACAGATGTTAATGTGCGTATGTGTACATAATTAAGTCCTTCTCTGCTAGGTTTGTTCCCTAACTATAGTTGAGAATAAGTCACAGGCCAGGTGAATTCTTCTCGAAAGGAAGCTGGGCAGAGGGTGTATATATAGGTAACCCCCAAAACTGGAGATTCAGCACATGTGACGTAGGCTGTAGATGGATGAGACAAATGCAAGCTTGTTCTGCCTGTTGCCAGAGCTGTCAGGGTGTGAGCCGGCTTTGGGAACCATGTGTCTTGAGAGCTGTGCCTCAGCTACTCACACCTAATGTCAGCTCTTACTTGAGTACAGATTAGCATTGCTTGTGGACATACAGCTGCTCAGATCTGATTTGTGCCAAATTAACTCAGTACATGGACAAAATGAGTGTAGAGACAGGTACAGACAGATGCACCTGCGTGTTTGCTTCTGACATGAAAAAAATGATTGCACTTTTGAGTTTTGCAACCGTGTTTTTTATCTTGGATATTTCTGATTGCTTGGCTTGCTTACTTTTTCTGCCCAACGTAAATGATGGGTAGCTGGAAAAGACATGGAAAACGGGTCCTTATGAGGTGTTGGAAGCACTGAGGTGGTACAGGGAACTGTGTAAGGTCTGAGGAAGAGAAGGAAGCTGTATGGGATAGGTGAAAGAGCAGGGCTCAATTTTGCTACCGCAAATTCTCTGCATGTCAGAGGATTATGATGTTTCTTTTTTTAATGCTTGATTTATTCTTTGTTACTTTATTTCTGACGACTTTAAAATAAGTGTATTTTAAATCCTCTGCTTGGTTTTAAATTTCATATAATCAGCAGTTGGCTTCCCTCAGTCTGTATTGCCTTATTTGGCCATTTCAGTCCTTTAGAAAGATGAAAGAATCATAGGTCTGTGTTGCATTAGTGTGCGTGCTACACAATATTGCCTGTTGAAGAGTGGTAATGTGAAGGACAAGGGCAAGAAAAAGTGCCTAAGACTTTATTGAAATACAACGGCAAAATCTGGAGTCCTGTGTCCTCCTCCCTCTCGCTGCAGCCTTGCTCTGGGTCAGTTGGATGCTCTTGTGATGGTCCAAATTACTGGTTGAACGTCTTTGATCACCCTGACTCGAATTCAGTTTTTATAATAACTGTATACTGATTAAGAATTAAATTTCCAGTGCTCTGTCAGATATATCAGCCGAAGAACAAATTAAGGAGTGTACTGCAGAGTAAAGAAGGCGGTGAAGAAGATCCAAACTTAATGTCGATTTCCTGCACTTAAGGTTTCTCCATCAGAACGACCATTTAAGTCATATATCCAATATTTCTCTTGTTAGCTTAGAGTGATTGTGTTACCTATTTAATACTGTCTGCTAAAGTGGAAAAGAAGTGTATGCTACTTTATTTTAAATTGGCAAATGTCCTGCTGTTTAATGGGACAGTGGACGTGTTCAGATGTTGCTTTACTAATAAATTCATTTCCTGCCATGTGTTTTAAAGTAGAGCATAGTTGCTTAAAGTTTAAGTTTTTTTTTTATCTGTTTGATCTTATACAAATGAGAAATGGTAGAGTTGTGGTGCTATAATTGGTATTTCCTAGTGTGGTAAATGACATCAGCATTTTTAACAGAGTAAAATCTGTATTTTGGCCTGCGTAGAAAATATTTAGGGCATTACTTTCTTTGTAGAGGAAAAAGGTTAACAATTATAACTCAAAAACACCTGAAGAGGAAGGGCAGGGAAGGGAGGGGATGAAAATCCATGTTGTACTGATGGGCATCAAAGAGTTTTAAGAGGGGAGCTCCTCCCCAATGGTCCTGTTGCAAAATCTGCTTGTCATCTAGAAAAGCATTATTTTTCATATTTTTTTTTTTAATCTCTTTAAAAGCGGTATCAGCTATGGCTCTTGCACCCCTTCCCATCTGGTTGCCAATCAAAAACTCTTC